GAACCACATGGACACAGCCTTTTAACCAATGGGACTCCCTTATATTTACCGTCCAGCACAGTTGAAGGGAGGCTCTTCAGGTTTATTCTGGATTAGTTATTATACATTACTACATTTTTAACAAGATGGCTAGAGTGTTAACCTGTCAAATATAAGAATGGCTAGAATCTTTGAGAAGCTTATATCTCCACTTCCTTCAGAGGTTTCTGTTCAAAGATAGTTCTCAAGCTAGCTAACAGTAATAAAACTCAAATAAAAACAAAACTCTAATTAAAAATAAGTGAATTAAAAACCCAGCTGTTTTATGGCACCTTAAAAACTTAATAAATTTATTATAGTAAAACTTTTGTGGATCCGAGTCCACTGATTAAACATTTATGTGATAATAAATGGTTGTAAATATTCAAGGTGTCACAGAACTGCTACAAAAGGTAACACAACTCTATCTTTGGAAATTAAAAAAGTTATGATAAACTTAGAAATTATTTCTTCAAACCAATCCGTTTAAATACCCCAAACCAGTTTTGAAAACAATGACTTGCCTGATCATAGACTTTTAGAAGGCTGGAAGGTATCTCCTCCATATACCTCTGCTTGCAGCAGGAAAACTCATGTTTAGGCTAAGGAAAGTTTATGAACTGTTTAGAACAATCCATAATCCTGCAACATGAGAACCTACAATAGGAGCAGAGCGTATCTAAGTCTTATTAATAAATAGATGTTGAACAAATACACGAAGCAGTGTTATTATTCCGTGTCTTTTTTTTAATGCATTTGACCTAATATTTGCTGTTTGGTTGGAAAAAGTATGTGAAGCCCTAAGATATTTCTCATATGTTGGGAAATTATTATTTATTTCACCAAACACTCAGCTCCACTTGATTGGTTGCAGGTAATCACCTCTGCATTTGTATATTTATGCATTTACATATTTGTATAATTGATTTTTAGGTTATAGAGTTTTCTTTTTCCTGGTTTTTACATTGCTGTAAAGCACCCAGAGTCATTTGATTGGGCAGTTAACAAAATAAATGTTCAGCTCTGTTAAGGAGCTAAGTTGACTCAGATTTTCAATCAAAGAGATGACAATCAGATCTGGGTTTGAAAGGTCCTTCCTTATGAAAGCATGCTCATGAATTTATGGAAGTGAATCATGCCTCGATCAAAATCTCTGCCCACCTCAGAAAAAGGGTTATTGCTTATCAGGATGATAGGGGCTACAAAATCACTGCCATTTTAAATTATTTATTCATGTTATATCCTACCTTTTGTTCAGGAGATCAAGGTTAACATACATAGTCTTTCCCTCAGAAATAACCCAGTGAGGTAGATTGGGCCGAGAGTGACTGACCCAAAGTCGCCATGAGAACTTTAATGGTTGATGATGGACTTGAATCTCTCTGGTATATCCAGCACCTTAATCACTATGTGACACTTTGGCCTCCATCAATCCATGGTCAGACATATAGTATAGAAATGCATATATTAAACACTATTGTTAACTCTTTGCAGGAACAATCTTCCCACAAAAATCACCCCAAGAGCAAAGCATGAAATTCTCCAGGAGGTTGCAAAGAAAGCCAGGGTAATGGCAAAAAAATTGAGGCTACTCTTACATTGAACAATTAATGAGAAACACAGAATTCAAAGAAAAGAACCTTATTCCAACCATGAAGCATGGTAATGGGAGTATCATGGTTTGGAGGTTCTTTGCAGCTTTAAGATCAGGAACAATGGATTCTGAATTGTACCAGCAAATTCTACAGGAGAATGCAGAATATATGTGAGCTGTTAAACCAGTGTGGGTCATGCAAAACAACAATGGCTGAAGCAAAAAAAATTTCACATTTTGGAATGACTGAGACAAAGTCCTGATCTTTCCTCCATTGAAATGTGGTATGATTTGAAGCAGGCAATTCAGCCCCAAATTATGAGTTCTATGAGTTGAAGCTGTTCTCTAAAGAGAGATAGGTCAAAGTATCTCTGATGTGCAGGATTGATCAACAGAACACTTGGTTGAAGTTGCTGCTCCTAAAGGAGGTGCCATTGGTTAGTAAATCTAAAGCTTCCAAAAAAGACAGTAAAATGTACAATAAATACACAACATAGTACACTGTTTGTGGTAATATTGATCTCTTTATTAACAGGACATAGAGGCATATGACAACACTGTAGGTTATAGTATTTCAGAGTTACATATAGTTCTAAAACGGTTCACAAACACCACTGAAGGTGAGTCCTAAATCCAAAAATGTGAGACTGTTAACTTAGATCAGCTAAGCACAGGACTGGCCAGAATCCTGTACAAAGTAAAGACACACTTTTTATAGTTCTAACAGATAAAATTTTACACAGCTGATTTGAAGTATAGGTATTACACAGAATATGGTAGAGTGTGGCAGAATTTGATGCTGTTACATGTCAAACTTCATGCAATTTTAGATTTTTCAACATCCTCCCGCTTTTCAACACAAATAATCTCCATGAATATAGGAAACTAATACTCTAGGAAAAAGTGTATACTCTTTAATGTAAAATGTTTTTTAAAAAAATAAAGGCAAAACATCAACATTATGGCTCTCTTTGTGATCTAAAATAAGTAATGCTATTTCAATGCTATTTAAATAGTATTTATTTGATTTGTAGAATGGTTGCAAAAAAAGCAAAATACTTCTTGAGAAATAGCTACAACAGGGAAAGACTGGCTGATTTATACAATAGGGACAATAGATGACCTCATATATCTCCTCAGTTCAAGTTCTGTAGGATTCTTTGCAGAGCAAAGAATTGGCAATTTGGCCTTCTATTATATTACCAATTCAATTACAGTACTACATCAAGAATAATTGCCCTTTTAAGTGAAGTTCAAATAAGATTTCTTTTTTGGTCTGAGAAGTTATTGATGTATACCTTTTGAGATTGCTTTGGCTATATAATATTCATATTAGTATAGAAGAAAGGATCTCTTCACAAAGTTTTATTAATGTTAGAAGATACAGCCTTCTATATTATTCTGTATAGAATAATATATTCTATATTATTCTATATATGCTATTTTATACCAGTTCCTGAAACGCTTGGAAAAAGTGCATAATGGACTAATGGATTAAATGGTTAAGATCTTTTCATGGTCTGCAGCAGAAATGCAAAAAGTACCACCTGTTACTGCAGATCAATCTAGATTGTCTGCACAAATGGGCAGTACTTCAAACTTTGAGGTCACACAGGTGTTGCTGGAGATGGCACAGTGGCACTAGACAGAGAAAAATCACAGTAATGAGAATTTGTTAGTTGGGGAGTAGAATGGATAGAATTGACCACAAAGGAATTACAGATATTGAACAGGCCAGGGCAGCCCCAATATAATTGCATTTCATTTTTTGTATAAGAGAGATTTTTGAGAATATTGGATACATTTATTAATTTATTTGGAAAATTTATGGGGCTGCCCATCTTAAACAAGTAGCTTTGGGAGATAAACAAACAATACATTAAAAACATATTAAAAAAATAAAACAGTACAGAATATAGTCATACTATAACCAAGGCAACCCAAAACAGCTCACAACTCCAACAGACATATAACATGCTCCACTAATATCCTGGTCCTAATGCCTGAAGAAAGACCCATGTCTTCATGGCCTTCCTGAAGCCCAATAAAATCAGGGTCAACTGGATTTCAGGAGGGAGACTATCCCAAAGGGCAACGGCAGCTTTTCCAGTAACAGGTTACATGAAGAGGAACACAAAATAGGATAAAAAGGTTGATTAAAAAGTTAAGATTTCCCTTGGTATTAGGGCTGTGCATGCTTTGAAAATGATTTGGAAGAAGTACTTCAGATCTTGTGCTAGCAGAGCTTTGCTGTGGCAGATAGTCTTTCTTCAGCCTTCCACATGAACCCCCTCACCTTTTCTGAATGATCAAAACTATATCAGCATGACTTCATATACAAAGCTTCAGAAATGTTACCATGGGAGTTAGAAGGGAGGGGAAATTTAAAATATTAGATATATTTCACTAAGAGCACCAAATAGTATCCTACCAGATGGTGCCTTCAGCTTATTTGAAGTGTTCAGCTTCTGAATTCTTCCATATTTATTTTTTAAAAATATACATGTAACCTATTCTCTTTAACATATAAATAACCTGTAAACAGGATT